TCATATTAATGTGTATATATTTTACGTTAATACATTAAGGCCAGTTTCAGTACCTGTGTAAATATATGTAATGTAATTTTCGGTACCAATATTCTTATTTTAAAATTCGGTAAGTAAAGGTGACGTGCTTTAACATGATTTCGAATTTTCAACATACATGGTCAAGTTAGGTCATATATTAGAATATTCTATGCAAGTGTGTTTTTGTTATGACCTAGTTAGCGTTAGACTTGACAGCGTCATCGAGTTGTAGGTGATAAGCGCTCGAGCCCCATAAAAACCAATAATCACTCTTGCCTTGAACTCTCACATCGGATGTACATTTGGAAGAAAATGAATTGAAAAAAGCATATATCGTATATACTGTTCTGCTGTCGCTACCGAGAGCAACACGTTATCGAACGCCGGCCCGTCTGGTTGCCATAACTTCGCAAAGCGGTGAGGTGTGATCTTTCCATTACACCCTCCCTCTCTGGAGCTGGTCTCTTTTCAATGTTCAGATTTCACTTTACTTGCAAAGAACATGCGAGGAAAACTGTAATATTCGAAATATAATATTCAGCATAGATATGACACGCTGCCGCTTATAAAGATCACGCTGCCTCATGCCCTTACCACAATAAAGTGTTGTGAAATGCTAACACAAAACTACGCACTATATTCTCGTGCTATCAGACTATATATATGGCCTTAAAACGATGTGCGTAAAATGTTTTCAATTAATTGAAAACCTAACTAACGACAAGCCGATCGCTGCGTTTCGATGCAAATTACGGACTGTATATCACATGAAAACAGCACTGGGCCGGCGCGGGCCGCGTCGTAAAGTATCTGTAAACGATACTGGGCGTCGCTACGGCACCTCATGTGCTACGATGTACTACGATGTGCTACGCATGATGACGTTAACGAGAGCGTGCACCGCGCCCTCTCGTAAAACACACGCAATCGAATAACAGCTGTTTATATTTACTCTATAAACGTGACGATCATTCCTATTATCAACGTTTTGGTTCCAATGATGGTTAAGCTTGAATGATGTCAAAATCTATGCAGTAGACTCCAACTTAACTGAATCATTTTAATTTTAATTTAATTTACTTTAAATATTACAAAACAAATTTTTACACACATTTCTCTATTTCTAAACTAAGCAACTCTTGTACTATGAGTACTGGATAAGAGATAAAAATACTTTTACATACTTTTATTTTGTATCTTATCTTATCCTTTAAACGAGCAATTCTTGTATATATATATATATATATATATATATATATATATATATATATATATATATATATATATATATATATATATATATATATAATCGGAATCTCGGAAAAGGCTCCAGCGATTTTCATGAAATTTAGTATGTGCGTAGATTCAGGGGCGAAAAATCGATCTAGCTAGGTTTCATTTTAGATGTCTAAAATGTCTTTTTATTTCAGTAAATACAGTAAATTTCGCCGCAAAATAAGTGTTATAATAGCTCGGTCGGTAATCGGGCGGCCCAAAAACAGACGGCCGCGGTTCCAATCATGATCATTTACACACTTACTTTTTTACTTTTTTTTCTACATCAGATCATTTTCTTTATTATTTATTTTTTTTATTTCCAAAATACATGATTTACAAAAAAAAAATTCTGGTCCCGGTCCTCCAGGTACTATAAATAAATACTATAAATTTTAGAAAAAATAATTTATGGATTTTATCGCGGTTTCTTTAAAGTTATTATGTTAACCGTATCATGTTTTCTGCTTGATAGACTTCAAAAGAACACCTGACTGAAATCAGAAACTCACTGAAAATCAGCGCTACACAGTCAGCCTTATGCCGTCTGTTGTAGCATAAGCTGAGTTTCCACCTTTTGCCAAGGTGCTTTTCTTTTTTTTTAAATCCCTAAGTAATTTTAATATTTTTGTAAAATTTTTTGTCTTTATATAATATTGTTAATGTTCTTTTTAAATTCTCTTTTTTTTTGTTGAGCATTTAAATTTATTGTACAATCAATTTTTTCTTGGCAATAAACGATTATTATTATTATTATTAAAATACTGCTTCTGAGCATGTATCGATAACGGACATTTATGTGTATGCATTTAAAGATGGAATAAATTTTTTTCGACTCATGATGACTTTGATAGGGTTGGGCCTTTTAAAATCGTAGACCCTGGTTAACTAGTTCACGCATAATACTGCCACGTCACATCAGTCTCCTTTACCTCCCCGACAAGCCTGCCCATTCAGGAAACTTGCTATTGTTATTATGGTATGACATCTGCTAATCGTGTATTTTTGAGAAAGAAATAAATAGTCTATTCGGCCATCAGACAATGTAGAGGTAAAATATTAAACAGTATTCGTTAAAGATCTTAAGTTTTGTGTGTTATTTTAAAGTTATGTGACATTAATATTCACTATTTTTTGTAAATGTGGTTCTTTCTTGGTTAGAATTTTACAGTTGTATAACTTCTCATGTTTTTAATGAAACAAAAATTATGAAAATCGCTTTACTAAAACCTCGAGCCTCATTAATCTTTTACAGGTTATAATTAGAACAGGCGCGGCTTAACAACTGTTACACTGACAAAATGTATGCAGGCTACATTAACGCATTTGTAGGACACGTTTCACGAGCGTCCCTAGAGCAATTCGCATGCTATGCAGTCATACGATGTTTATCAAAAATTACCGTTAGCACGTAAGCCTCACCCGCTGACCTAGTGGTAGTGGGGCAGTGACCTATTTTACGAAATTGAATGGGCTACCAGCTGACTGTTTCAGGATTTTGTAATGTAAATAATGCGTGTCAAATGCCCCTACGACTCGTATATCCTAAATTTTACAATGGATGGAATAACACAATGACACTAAAAGATTTTTACAAAAACTAATTAAATAAAGTCATGTAGGCTATGTATGGATCACCTAAGATCATACTTACGCCAACGATTCCTGATGAAAATGAGACATAGGATTTTGATTTGTAAAAGTATTGTTAAAGTAACAAATGGGTTTATTGTGAGTTTATGAACAAGCACCTTAAGTTAAGGGCAACGAAGGGAGTTTAATATAATAATTTATGTGACTCGGTGCCACGGCTTTAAGCTTGTTACAAAATTACAAGACTATATTGAAATTATCATCTTAAAATTTGTAGAAAAAGTACGAAAAGATTGTCGCCGCTGTGAGAATCGAACCCACGTTTTCGGCATTCGCGGCCGGACGCTTTAGCCACTAAGTTAAACGGCTGATTACCGCACTGGCGAAATTATCATCACGAATTATCATCTTGAAAAACGTGAAAATGTTTACCCATTTTGAACTTATGTGAACACACGAGTCGCGTCTACCCTGTCATATATATGTCGTGCGAAACCAAACAAATGAGTAATAATAACTTTCTTTTAGGAGCGTTGCTCCTGTACAAGGCAACAGACGATAAACGGTTAGATTGCGCGGAAACCCCGCGGGAGTCTGCGCTAATCTGTGCCGGGTTCCCTGATCTCCCGCCGCACTTCGAAGGTTTCGTATAAATCGAGTAAGAGTTTGCTAGGAGACCGAGCAAGGGAATAAGTACCGATTGCGTAAATGTAATACAATACGAGCTTTCGCGTCTTCATATAGTTAACTATCAGTGAACTTTTATCGTTATTCTACACTAGAACTATTGTTACAACTGCCACGCTTATTGAGTCTTCCACTCTTAGTGATGATTTTGTTGCTATACTTTCGAAAAGTTACTTCTATATTATTCCCAGGTTCACAAAGGTTTTCTTCGATTTCAGGAGAAGTTAAGAATTCTACATCAAATAATAATAAATGATTTGAATGTTTTGAATAATAATCGTTTTTCACAAAAGCTTTTTTCATTTTGTGACCATGGTTATTTTTAATATTATTATAGAAGGTAACTAAACATTGGTAAAAAAATTAAGTTTAATCAAATTTTATGTCATGTTTCTTTATCTCGCACATTTAGTGTGAGATAAAGAAACATAAATAATATGACATCTTCAATACAAGTATATTAAATACATAACCACTTCACTTATATGTATAAATATAATGATTACCATAGATTAACTTTTCTCAACGGAACTTTATTTGATTTTACTCCAATTTAGAGATACATCTAAAGTTTATAATAAGAAAGCAACGAGCTATAAAAGCGATGTTCTTCTTTTGTTTCAACCGTAAAGTTCCATTAGGTCTTATAACGCCACTCTTCGAAACAATTTCGACCGTTGTATTTCACAGGCTACTACAATACGAACATGAACGCAACCTTTTTAACTGTAAATCGAACGTGAGGACGCGTATTCAGAAACATTCGGTGTGAACAACGTACATTCGGCTCCACGGCCAGTGTAATGTACGAGGAGGGTGCCTTATCTACGCGGAGATACGGCCTACGACGGACGACGGACCCGCCAAACAGATTTACGCACGCCGCCTGTCCCAGTTGACCCCTACCTTTAGCAACGGGGTTCGCAAAACGCGACGTATTACTCGTTTCACAGTATTTATTGACAATTTTTAAATTAGGCAGTGATATTTTGCGTTAATTTGAAGAATAATAAGGTTATCCTACGTCGTGGTGTATTTGTACATAGACAAACAAACGGATCCGAAATAGTTATTTTCTTGCGATATAGATACTCATCCTTCATGTAGTGATACTACTGTTACCAAGACGCGTGAGCTATACAAGTATAGTAACATTGTTTGTTAAGATCTTTTCTCTTTATAGGCTTGGCAATTGTAGGCTAGTATTTGCATTAATACCAAATAATTTTCCGAATCAATGTGTTAATCAGTATACTATTTACCCTCCTATGATTTGGATACAGTTGACACACGGTTGACGCGTTATTGAGGCTAGTCTGATACACAGTTTGCCAAGTGGGGAAGCCCCGCGGCGTCGCTAGGCTAATGAGCGTGGCACAAGAGACGTGCGTGCACCGCAGTGTTGTGGTTACCGCGTCTAGTGCATGGCGGGTGAGTGTGCAAACGCGTGGCCAACTAGACTAATGTTTGCGGCGTTAGGGAAGCTGCATTACTATGCATACTACACACCCTCTACGGTACAGCTGTAACGTGGAGTGTTCGTAGCGTAAGAGCTACGAGTATGATAAGAAGAGTCATGTTGACTGATCACTGTTTACACGAAAAGCGACAGTTGTTACCTGAATGAGTTCAAATGTTACTCATTTAAATTATAACTGATACTATGTAATTAAAGTCTTACATAGAATCAACTACAAGTGTAACATACAATATATTAACAAATATAATCACTATTGCTGAATTTTTCAACAGTCAGATATAAAGAAAACCTAGTTAAGTTCATTTCAAGAATCAGATCACAGGTTGTTTGAAAATGGTCGAAAACTCTACGTTATTCGCTTTGGTAAGTTCCCTACGCTTAGAAAGAAAACTCTCGCAACAATGTAGGCTTTGAATGCGTTCAATGTTAATGGTATTTACTGAGTTATCTCACAAAGGTTGTAGGCACAAATTCCTAGTATGCTTTAAATTCTTAAGATATTTATACTTATAATTAGAGGTATATTATATGCTAGGATGGTCGCGTTAATATTGTAAAAGCGAAATAGGCTGAAGGTATTTGAATATACTTTTTGTTAATGGGTACGGCTTTTATGCGAGAAGTTGTAAGTATAGAAGGTTTGCAACACCCGTAATGTTGCAGATGCGTTGCCACCTTTTAATAAAGTAGGCTCCGATTACCTCACTAACTCTCAGAAAGATAACACTTCTACTTCACGCCGGTCTATCGTGAGATCGTGATATTTCTCCGAACGGACCTGCCCATTCATGCAACAGAGAAGACTTTTGTCACTCTTAATGAATTCGGCCCTACCACAGTTAGATGTATAAGTTAAATAAAAAACTACGATACTTTAATCCCGTCGCAGATGAAGAAACGCGGCCGAAGCTAGAGTGAAAATTACCGATATAAATGTACTTTTCTGCATAAATTACATACGAGTATGTGCATAAATACTACATGTATCGTCTCGTGGCTGGACAGGGTATCAAGCAATTTAACGCTCAGATTACCCCTGTTGACTCTACGATTCGCAGTCTGCCCTCCGTTGGTAAACTGTCCACAATTATTTTTCCCGAATTTTACGCGAATAAAACAAAATACTTCGCAATTAAATGTAAATATAGATATAGCATCTTTCGGACCAGTAACAGTAACCAGTAACGAAAAGTTTACGATTGAGGAGCAAGTATTATTCCTATTCCTAAATGTTAGAGTGTTATACCAAATTAATAAAATATGCGTAATGGATAGCCACAAGTAACGTCTACGTAATGCTTCTAAAATTATTATGTTGAAACCAAAAATTTTCGCAATATCTAAAACGCAAAGTTGCACATACAAATAAACGTTTAAAGCTCTTTAAAAGCCCTTATCAGAAATTCTGGTGAAAGTCTAGCTCTGTCGTTGTGGCCTTGAAATAAGCGAAAGTTTTATGTTTCCAGCCACCCTAAATCTCCCAGGAATTTTTTCAGCATCTAAAACATATATCATCTGGATAGTTTTATTAGGACGTCAGTTACATTACGTATCTCTGTTACATATCGATAATGAAAGATAATAGTTTACTTAGTTTTAACTTAACGTGGTACTGCTTATTGGAACTTTTCAGTATTAATGATGCTGTTTCATGTGAATTATATTCAACAATTATGGAAAATATAATTTTGTTGAAACAAAAAGAATATCAAAAGATGATTGAAAATTACTGCTTTTTTCTGCTTTTTCATCCTTTGTTGCTAATGTTTACCGTTTATAACCTCAGAACAGGGCTTTTAACATTTATACCATCCAAAAAACTCACTATGCCCCCCGGATCCGAACCCGTAACCCCATAAGCCACAAGCCAAATCACTTCTACAGCTAGCGACATTTCTTATCATCAACTGACTGAATACCATCCCCTAGTCAGTTTACATCCGGCAAAAGCACCCGCGCACTTCGTGGCCCTATCCCAAAAGGCCATTGAGAGGCAGTCGATCGGAATTGTAGCCCTCGGGCGCGGCTTTTACCAGCTCGACAGACTGGCGAGCGGCGAGATTGCGAGGCGCCAATCGATTCCGCAACTTTCGCCTCCGCCTCACGTCTGGGCAGGATGAGCCCTATCCGCTCTTCGGCTTTGTTGCGGCGTGCATCTTTTCTAGTACTTTGGGCAGAGGTGCCGTTCTACGGTGCTACGTCGTCCAATTATATTGTTTTACAGCAATTCTGAAATGATTTTACAATCAGCTTAGCAACTTTTTAACGTAACATTACAATAGCTAATTAATTTTTTAGGGTTCGGTAACCAAAGGGTATTACGAAGACTGCGCTGTCCGTCCTTCCGTCCGTCTCCATGATTATACTCTGCAACTGTAGACTTTGAATCTCGCGTCACTTTAAGATGCATCTAAATGAGTTTAAGCGAAGAGCGGCTTTCGGTTTGTAAATTTTGGCGAGTGCAAATAAATGCTAAAAACGTTATAGTGATTTTAAAGTTAAAGATATTTTATCTTGAAGAGAAGGCAAAGTTATGCAAATGGATTCTAGTTAAAATTCTTTAATTATTTTTTAAAGCTTTTTGCGAAAAAAATTGTGTTAGTTTCTTTGAAAATAAATTTGACCTTTAACATGTGAAAATAATATACGTGCCCTGTGTTCTTTAGCTTTTGAAGCTTTTAAGAATACAAAAGATATGTAATTTACTCTTATATGCATATTTCAATATTCACGTAATAAATACATTATTATTTGTGTAAATACTGTATTATCCTTGTTTATTTAATTATTGCGAATAAAAAAACAATATAAACATCAAATTTATAGAAAATAGATATGTCTTATCTTTTCTTAAAATGTACAATAAAAGAAATAATCTTGAAATTCCACTATAACGATAAAAATGGAATAGGTTATGTATGTGGTTAGGGGTTGTTTGTGTTGTCTCCGTAAACTTTTCTCTTCGATAGTGGATACCATAACTGCCAGTGACGGTGGCGACAAATTTCGAAATCGCGATTTATTGTTTCGCAGATAATATGACGGCAGTTTCGTGGAGAGTCAACTTTAGGAGGACAACAGATAGGGCAGAGTACAGGGAAGAACTGCCTTACAAATGACATTTATATATTTATATATAAATACTTTTACAATTTACTTAATTTACTTAATTATTTACTTAAGTTTTAATAAAGACAAAGCAACCCATTTAGCCTTTAAGAGGGAAGACTCTACATTTAAATAATATCAACGGTTACTAAGTTATAAATGAATGAATATATTTTTTCAAGACCGATGATTAATCCACTATGTACATCTTAATGAATATTATTAGTACCAACATTGTGACAATATTTATTCATAACGCGAGCTAGTTAAGAAAACGCCTGGAAGCTCGAAACAATGGCTAGACTGAAAGTTTATTTATCGATAAATTGCATAATGACACAAAAATAAGATACAAAAGTCTTTCGAATTCCATTTATTTCTCAATAAATATGTGTATAAAAAGAAAAACCAATCAACAAACTTCACACGGTAGGGGTAAAGTTTGAAATTTCATTAGCGAAAGTATACTTTATGAAGGGTATACTGGTTGAATTCTAGAAAAAAAAAATGTGTGTACAATGTAACTACAATGTAATGTAATACAATGTAAAATGTGTGTAAAAAATGTTATGTGTGTACATCTGCGCACGTAAGAAGTTTTACTCCTTTAGCTTAACGTAAGAAAAATAACAAAAAATTATCTCCTCTTTGTTTTATATCTATGTATATTTCTCTTTGTTTGCGTAAATGACATTAAATACAATCGATAACGGCTTAATTAAATAACTTGGAGTTATAAGTAAATGTCAAAAAGTTTTGATTATGATTATGCTTTGCCAAACGCCCCAAAACAAGTATCAAAAATGACGAGACACAATACGAAAAAAGTTCCAAACGACATTAGTGCACTTACTGCATCGTGACAATAAGGTACTATGGTAAGTGCACAGTTCGTTTATAAGAGCGGTTATCGAGTCCCAGGGCTAGTTTTTGTAAAAAAAAAAAAAACGACACGATAAGGGAAAGAGTCCCGAATTCCATTAGGGGGGATAAAAAGCGTCTCTTATTCATCGGCACCGGAGGCGAAACGCAATAAAATCGGAATCATCGAATTACGGGGGCCCGAGACGATAAGGCGTCCCGTAAATTCACCGATCCGTGGGCCCGTTGGCCGTTCCCTCCGGGGAGTGTCAGCGTTTGTCCGAAGCGCGCGTATTGTTTTCCGAACGCACTCGCGGCGGTATGTCGTTTTTTGGGGTTCCATACCCAAAGGGCGAAACGGGACCCCGTTACTAGGAGTCCGCTGTCTGTCTCTCCGTCTGTCAACAGGCTGTATCTCACGAACCGTGATAGTAACAGTTGAAATTTTCACGGAGCATGTATTTTCGTTGCGCTATAACAACAAATATTGAAAAACAGAATAAAAAAAATTAAACATCAGACATGATTTTATGCCTTTTTTATAGACAATGGTACGGAACCCTTCGTGCGCGAGTCCAACTCGCACTTGCCCGATTTTTTTACGTATAATTCTCTGTGACGCATACGTTCCAAATTGCAGGCTGGTCTGCCGTCGCGCTTGGAACAGGAGTTTGGTGATACGTATGTAGCTATCTCTCTCTAATCCGAAGCGAAAATTATGAGAATCAAGGGAAATATGCCGCGATGGGGTTTCAGCTCGGAGTGTCTGTTTTAATAGAGAAAGACTACAGTGTTTATTTATTAAAACTATGCTTCGTTAGGTTATGCGTAAAAAATCTTGCATAAAAATAAACTTTCTGCAATGGAATTGTGCGGTTTTTCTCAATATAGGCGTAAAACTAATCTGAAGTTTTAACTGCGGTTATTTGATGACAAGTTTAAATTTATTTTAACATCCTTCAATCGATTCTGATGATTCCAATGCGTATTTAATTTATTCATCTCGAGAGGAGAGCTGATATGGTATTATGACATTTCAAATTCTGTAAATTAGATAATTTATTCCCAAATAACTATGTATCCTATTATTCAATTGTTTTTTTTTGCAATTACAAACTAAATAAGATAGTGAAATATTTAATATAACATGTTTTTATTAAAGAAATGCTTTGCTAATAGTTCAATTAATTGTTATGGTGATTCATATAACGTGATAACAAATAAATCACAGTTCGACACGACGGCACGAATAAAACGAAATTAACAACTATCGCGAACATAAATCTTGGAACACACATTAAAAGCGCATTTAGTTCAGAGTTCAAGGCGGTGGAATTAATCAAAAAACGAGTGGAACGGGGTGAAACTACTCTGTGCAGGCAAACGCTGAAGGTCGTTGTAAACAACCTTCGCGACGTGACCTTGGGGAAATTGCGCTACGAACGAGCTGCTCATTGAAGAAAAAATGTTTGCTACTACACGAGGCGACCTCTAACTATGAGAGCCAAGAGAGAAACAAATTTACAAAATGTGTCCGAATATATTTATTTTTTATTTTATTTTTTTATTTCGATTATTGACAGTTGTTACGTAAGCTTTGCTGAAAATATATGTTTACTACATACATAGTCGCTCTGTCAACGCAGCCTTGAATGCTTCTTGAGAGCAAAAAGACCGCTTATCTGCTACTGTTTTAATAACTTCCAGCAAATGCATAGCTATTGTAGTCTTCCGTACTCCTCACATAGACTTTATTGCATGAAGATAAATATGATTTCACTTTTCCACTTTTTCACTTTTCAATTATGGCCGTGATAGGTCATTGTTCGGGCGCTCGCTTTATTTCAATATAAGCAACCTGAGTTCAAACCTTTTGCCAACCCTTTTTTTGAAATGCATTTTGAGGAGGCTTTTGCCTAGCGGAGGGACATATATAGGCCGTAACTTCACTTTTAACTTCTAACTTTTGAATTTGGTTTAAAATTGTATAAGGGACAGCAAAATTTAGCTAAACAAGTAGAGTCGAATCGATCTCAGTGTAACGCGGGAGCCTTAGGCTTACTGGTAACCGTTGCGTTGGTTTGTTCTCAAAAAACGACGTTATCACGCGTTGCGCATTGGCGCAGTACGCGGTCACGTCAGGCTGCGGGCTCCTTATCAGCAGATATCCGATATCGGTAGGGTGGCCACTGCTACTGGATTGTGTTTGATGTGTCCTCATAGCTAACCTAACCTAATCATTCGCAACACCAATTCGAAAACATACAAAATTATATAATCCCTTCACAGAACAATGATTTATAGAGTTAAATTTTGTTTGGTTAACGTATTGAATACCGCTAATATATTTATAAATCAATCAAGTACATAGGGAAATCCATCTTTGAAAGTTAATGTAGTAAACAGAATATTTCGTTCGTCAATTTTGGAATATTGAAATTAGTATAAATTTAATTCATACTATATTCAGAACACAAACACGTCCGGGGTTATTATCTCTCTTTGTAGGCAAATGACAATAAGTTAGATCAAAGTAATCACTGTAATTCATAACACAACAACATATAATAGGAATTTATAACAAAATATCAGGTGATCTAACTCTAATAATTTACTGTCTACGTTAATGTGGCTTTGTGAAATAAGTGATTTAAATAGTCAAACACAAAGATAATCTGGTTGTAATTTTTATAATAAATAAAAAATAAAATTATAAATATTGCCAAGTCAGATGGGATGACCGGAATAAATAATTTATAAAGGTAAATAACCAACATGAAAGTCCCGAATTAATGTTATAACATTTGGTGACTCTCACCCGTAGCAGCCTACGCATTAATGCTACGTACCAATGGGCACGGAAACTCTCTCGTGAAAAGGAATCATAATTATTTGCTGACGCAAATGTTAATGTTAACAAGTTAATTCTAACTAAGCACAAAGCCCATTGTTTTGTATTTTTCAGACCGGTAAAGTAGAAGCATTGGATGCGTAAAAGGGAAACAATATGAAGTTGCTACGTCAAAACCTAGGTACCTAACTCAGACTCAAACACTATCACCCTGCTGGGGTCAGCAGAAGATGTAAATTTGGTTGGTTTTCGGTATGTTTTTTACGACTGTTAGCGTACTACTACGGAGCGGAGCAC